GTAACTTAGTCTTAGTCATTGCTTCTATCGAATTGATATCATAAACTTTATTGACATACATATACATGATGTTATAACAATATGAAAATGGTTGGCTGGTGATTTTACATATATATGCAGCATTATTGTAGAGGTATACAGAAACTAATCACTATCTACATATTAAAAAAAATATATCCGTAAAGTATGTACCAGTAGCTGGGCAACTGACTGTCGCGCAACGTGTCGCGGGCTCGATTCCCCCACGGAAGAACTCTTTGTATGATCCACAAATTGTTGTTCCGGGTTTCGGTGTTATGTGCATGTAAACTTGTATATTTGTAAACGCACCCACGACACAGGAGAAAATACTAGCGTAGGGTACAATTAGTTAGTACAATTTACTTAAAAAGTAAAAAAAAATCAGTCTAATATTGATTTGATAGTAATTATAACAAAGATACTAATTAGAGTTTAACACGCATATTTAAAAGTGTATCCAAGTGTAAGTAGACGTAGAATGTGATTATCTCATTACCGTCTTTAGCACTTTATCGATTGCGGTAAAGTCGTTGCGTCGTAGTAGCTATTTGTATGCGAAACAATTAACTTTATTTGACCGAATCAACCGTGCATATAATGGCGTAACTGATACTTTGTGTAATCTTTGTTTCAAACGAAAGCAGAAACGTGATTATGATCATAACTCATAATTATTATATGTCTTTAACAAAACATAATTTTAATAATTGCACTGTCTGGTATTACAGAATATTTGACTGTAGCACCCAGCTACATAGGTTTTTAAATGGACTAACGGAAAATAAATGATGTTTGAATTGGCCCCCTATACAGTTTGAAATAAATACTTTGTCTACACAGTTTCCATCGTTTTCAGTACAATAACTAAGACAACGGCGGCGTATTCCAAGTGTCACTATTCCCATATCGATCCATCGGCTTCACCTTCATTTCAAAGGTCAAGGACAAATGCATTACAAATTCATATTCAAAATATCAACAGCCCGTATTAAAGTTCACTATTGAAATTTGGCCCCTTCTATGTATAAGAAACTTTTTATTAATTTCCACACTTGGCAATCGGGTTGGAGATCATAGATTAAAAGATTTAGGTCTACTAAAAATGGCGGGTTACTCACGTGTATATACTGAGAAAAGTTCTACTAGTTTCGAGCCACAGAGGGGCTCTTCTACATGAGCAGCGGTCGCGGCGATGTCGCGCAGCCTTCAGGCTAATTAGTAGAGCTTTTCTCAGTATTTTCACGTGAGTAACCCACGATTTTTAGTTAAAAATGTCTCACTATAATTATTATGAAAACAAGATATAGTTTATAACAGAAAGCACTGCTACCCAGTATCTGTTAAACATATACGTAACGGGGAAACAAAAACTAGGAGCAAATATTCGTATGTACTCTATCGTTAGCACATGGCATATTAATTGGAATAATTGTTTTTGTTAGAAGGTAAATTAAAAGTAGCAAAAAAAACATAATGAATGTGTTTACTTAAACGTGCAATAACGATGTAGATTTATTATTCCGATTTCAGTTAACTTTGATTCATACAAGACAAGACCTAAGGTATTACACTGGTAGCTGAACAGGTTACTTATTAAAACAGTTACTTTAAATCTGGTTGTAGAGTTTTAAAGTTACTCTAGTTTGTGCTAATGAATTTTGTATGTAACCTAGATAGTATAATAAATGAATTGTACTGCTTTGAAGTATTATTACTATATAAGTATTTATTAAAATATATTATTGTATTAGTTGTTATTCCCGGGTCGGGCAAAGTACTACTGGAGTTTTAAAAAAAATCTCATTGGTTGCACGAAGTCTCACCCCCTATTACATGGGACTCATAACATAACATATATGGGTGAGCCTATTGCCATATTACCTATTTATAATATAATAAATGTAATATAATATAATAAATAAAGAGTAAATTAATTGAGCATTAGTCTCAGTGTATTGTAGTAAGTTATATTTTTACTATGAAATTTGTGCACTAAACATGCGTTGTTATGACTATTTGGTGTTCTAAACATGCACACACATGACCACGGGTATGACTCAATTTTGTAGACTTTGGAATTTGACATCCTTTAGGGTAAAAAGGCCACTTTTTAGATGTGTAATGTGCCATAATAAAATTAATAATAATGACCGACCTGTGCCCTCATCCCTTGATTGAAAATAGGCATCTAAAAACCTTTATTTCGTAAAGTGATAATACATATTAAACCTTTTAAACTAATTAAATTAATAGTCTTTTTTACATAATAAACTTAAATTGTCAACAGGCTGGCATCCGCATAGTCCACTTCATAGACTACGTATGGGTTGGTTCGTGGTGGCAATGCGTAATACAAATATCTTTAGCGTGTGGCGTGTTCGTTGTACGAGGTCGGCCATATTCGCCCGATGTGGTCGTGGCCGCGTTATACTCGTCTCGTAGTCGACTATCTGCTACGTTGGCTGCCCTACTCAGCTTTACATGGACTGTTGTACTGCCTGTGTTATTGTGTGTAAGTATACTGTCAGCTCTAAGGCAAAACTAAACCTAGTGAACCTTTCGTTCTTCGTCCAATAGGGAATTAGCTAGTGTCACCCCATTGGACGTTCAAAATTTGACAAGTGCTGCGATTGGACCAAAAATGTCTTCCCTGATGTGCGCCACCTGGTGACCAAAAATACGGTAGCCCCCATTGTACTAGTTACAACTAATATTCTTCACATTTCTTGTTGAATGTTCCAGGCAATTTGCGTGATGGATTTCCGAGTTGGACAACAAAAACAGATGTACAGTTGGAGAAAACCAGCTGGGTATGTACCTTGTTTTACAATTTGTTTTATTTTAAACACTATCGACCCGCCCCGGCTTCGCACGGGTGCAATATGCATAATTATACTATACATATAAAGCTTCCTTAAGAGTCACTCTATCTATTAAAAAAAACCGCATCAAAATCTGTTGCGTAGTTTAAAAGATCTAAGCATACATAGGGACAGACAGACGGCGGATAGCGACTTTGGTTTATACTATGTAGTGATTAAAATTATGAGACCGTCGTCATAAACGCCTCACACCAAAGTATTCTTAAAACATTTTTAATAAGTACCATATACCAGCTTAATACACAAAAACGGAGTTTCCATCAGTTTGATCCTGACCCTTAATATTGTTGGATAACGTTTGTCGAATGTAACCAAAAGGACATAAATCATAAACCTGTGAATAAGTAGCTTCTGCGAGTGGCTTTGCCCGCGTTAGACAGAAAGGAATAGCTCATGTGTTATTCCGGTCTATAATCGATAGTTTTATCTAAATGCATATTGCACCTACAGCCTACATCGTTCTTTTTTTTTAATATTTGATGGGCTGACGTTTGACTACTATCTCGCATTTATAGTATTGGTAAGATACAATAATAAATATGTCATATTATTTTTCAGCTATTGGCCAATATGGTGTCGTCAGGTCGCAGTGTTTCTACAACAAGGAGCGTTACTACTGGTGCCTATTGCCGCATTCATACAGACGTGGCGCTACATGAATAAAGGACCACCTGATATACTAGATGTAAGTTATTTACAACCTTATTCCAGTAAGTTAAAGAGTACATTATGTAGAGTATGTAGAAAACCCAACCAGTCTAGTTGAGTCTTAATGATTCCATCATTATTACAAATATGTTTTGTGAAAGCATACGGATTTTTCTTACAGTTTCATCATATAACCGGTAGCAGGTTACAAGCTATATAAAGTCTTATTTATTTATATTAACTTATATAAAGTTAACGTATAAAGAAAACACGCGTCACATACCGTAATGAGGCGCTAAAACTCGACAATTAGCGGATTGGTTATGTACAGTAGCATAAATACTTGTGTAAACAAGTTGTTTAATGTACCTAGCTAATGTCGGTATTTGTTACATAATATTCAATTTATTTTCTCTGTTAATGCTACAAGGATTATCGGGCAAACGATTGTATTGAGGAATTGGTAAGATTGTTCTTTTTGATCTTTCCTAGTTAAGATATCATCATAAAATTTTAGTCCAAGTGCAGTTGTTAGTTTTTTTTGAGGAGAAAATCATCCAATGATTTCTCTCGCCTTGGGTTAGGCGAGAGGGAGTGTGAGACTCTTACTGACTAAAAACCAACCCGTTTGGCCTTCTGAAGCTCCGTATCAGCCAGTAATGCTTGGGATTAGATATCTCTCGAGTACTTAAGGCGTGGTTATCTAGTAGAAGTAGGGGAGGCCTGTGTTCAGCAGTGGACGTCTTGAGGCTGATATGATGATCATGATGATATGATGATCTAGAACACATATACCCATTATAATTCACTTAATTAGTTGACATACTTATTTCATTTTATTCATTTTAAGTCTTAACTATAAACGGACTGCCTCGTTGGCCGAGTGGTCGCAAGTGCGACTGCTAGTTAAGTGGCCTCGGGTTCGATTCCTGGGTCGGGCAAAGTACTACAGGATTTAAAAAAATCAGTAGTAGCATGGAGTCTGGAATTGTGCCCTGTATATGGCAATAGGCTCATCCCCTATTACATGGGACTTATATTATAACAGAAATAGTGAAAAGTTGGTGTTACATTGTACAGTGGCATTAAGTGCCGTAATGTGCACCTCTGCCTACCTGTGATGGATTAACTATAAAGGTTTAGAAATTTAAATTCGATAAAAAAGTTGTTAAATATAACTATAGCAATATCACTTATAAAATGATTCAGAGAAGATCTTTATCCTTTATCTAGTGTTAAAGACACATTATTCGCTAGTCAGGTTTTCATTGATTGGTCTATTTATTTATTAACTATCATACGATACTATGACGTCAGTCACGTTTACATTTTATTAAAAATCTCTGGCGTGATTTTTATATCACTGTTCGTTATCAAAATTATGTACGGAATTGATAACCTTACTAAACAATATTATTTTTTACTTATATAAGTATATCATCGTATTGAGTGGTACCAATGCCATTAATAGTAGTAGTATATTTAAGAAAAAAACTGTAATTCTGTTATGTCAGGCGTGCAGATTATGGTTTAACTTTTTTATGTATGTAAAGGAGGCCCATAGCCCTTGTTAAGTGATTTTTATTTGTAGTTAAAAACAAAAAGATACTACAGGAACTGTCACTGAAGTCTGATAATGAAATATGACCTTGACTGAACGTAATGTAGGTAACATTTCCAAAATAAACACGAAGTCTGCAGTTGAATTAAGTCCGGAAGTTTTGAATCTTATTATACAAAGCTGAAGAGTTTTTTTTTTCTTGTTTGCTTATTTGTTTGTTTGTTTGTTTGTTTGAACGCGCTAATCTCAGGAACTACCGGCCCGATTTCAAAAATATTTTTGTGTTGGATAGTCCATTTATCGAGGAAGGCTATAGGCTATAAAAGATCACACTACGTTCAATGGACTCCAAGCAGAGCAGATGAGACCGCGCGAAAGTAGTTAGTTATAAAATAAACAAAATTTTACTTTCTGATAGACTGCCTCGTTCGTTGAGTGGTCGCAAGTGCGACTGCCGGGCAAGGGGTCTCGGGTTCGATTCCCGGGTAGGGCAAAGTGTTACTGGGTTTTAAAAAAATCTCAATAGTAGCACGGAGTCTGGAATTATGCCCGGTATATGGCAATAGGCTCACCCCCTATTACATGGGACTCATAACAGAAATAGTGAAAAGTGGGTGTTACATTGTACAATGGCATAATGTGCACCTTTGCCTACCCCTTCAGGGATAAAAGGCGTGAGTAGTAGCACGGAGTCTGGAATTATGCCCGGTATATGGCAATAGGCTCACCCCCTATTACATGGGACTCATAACAGAAATAGTGAAAAGTGGGTGTTACATTGTACAATGGCATAATGTGCACCTTTGCCTACCCCTTCAGGGATAAAAGGCGTGATGTTATGTTATGTTATACTTTCTGATTTCGTCGACTAGTAAACAGACCTCATTGAAATAAATTCTTGACTTCATTCAATCATAAGATTTTAAATGTATGACACTGTATTATGAAATGCGAACTCGTACAAGGTCGCGGAAAAATATTGTTACAGTTACACAGTAGGAGATAACAGTTAGTATTTGATAATTTACTGAGTAAATAAGATTTCTTTGAATCTCTCTGCAGTTGTTTTAATAATTGTACCTGAAGGTCATACTGTTTTTATTTCGTGGTGTAGTGGATAAAATCAAGTTGTAAATTGGCAATTTTGATGTTGATTTGAATCTTATGGATATAGTAATAACGATTAACGATATATATAATTTGTGCAGTGAAATTTTGACTTGTCTGTCAACCAAGGGTTACTGATCCCTTAGTTGTTAACTTATTACATTCAACATTGTTAAGTCATTTACAACGCATAAAATGCCAAGTTCATCATTGGATTTTCAAAGGGTAAAAATTATTGTTTTTATCACAAACTCCCTATTATAACATGATTAATGACATTTGACTTACTTCTTATTGTATCATTAAGTAAATATACTGAAAATATAACCGCGGAGAGCCTAACGGGTTATCGCGGTGCCGGCTCGAAGTGCAGGAGTTCCTACGGAACGGGGTGGTTTTTAGTCAGTAAGAGTCTGACACTCCCTCCCGCCTCATCCAGGCGGGAGAAGGAATTCGATGATTTTCCTCCCTTAAAAAAATATACTGAAAATATTAGGTGTTAATATGCCTCTATTTTTATTTTTCCAGCGTATTCAAAACCTTTACCGTCCTCGTATGGGTGTGTCTCAAGAGCCTGGTTTAGGGCGAGCAGTTCCTTTGACTACTGCATCAGCACCAGCACCACCAGACCCACCGCCCAAGTACACACCACCGCCTTCATACTCCACTGCTACAGGAGCAAGATTGTTGAATACTATAAGACGGAGCTTTAGAACTCTTAGAAGGTATGGTCATAATGCCTTATACTTATAAATACTTGCAAAAGAGATTTCAGGTGATATTTCTGCCTTCAGAGTGCAACTGCCTAATAAGGTGGTTCATGTATCGTAGTAATGAGTTTGGAATTGACTCCGTTATGTATATTATAACTTTCGTGAGACATACTAAATTAATTATTATGTTTGGAATGGATCTCGACTACTTTCAAGCAATGCTAGTGGCTCATTACGTGGCGATTGTCGCGTTTCTACTGACTGACTAGTCTAGTTCCTCGTCAAATAATTATGTGAGTAAGCCGAAAAACATAATAATTAATTTGGTCTCCGGTATGCTATAATAGACTATCCTCGGATAAGATGGGTCTCGTAATGTGACTGGGAAAGATCGGGCATGTCTGTGCATCTATACCAACTCCTTAAAACGGCCGTTTGTTTAGATTTAATTTACTACTAATATACTGAAATAAAGATGTCATCTAGTCTGTCGTTGTTTCAGCTGCATATGAATAAATTAATAAAGATTATTTACACATTTACAGAATCACAACAGCACGCGCGGAGCAATCGCCCGCAGAAGACACAACGCAGCTACCAATCACACTCAGCGAAACTGTAGAGCGGGATGCCCTCGTCTCACTGGAGACCCAACCACCAGAGTACAGCGGTGTTTTTACCACACCATCTATAACCATCACAGACGAAACCGACTCCAGAGTCACTCGACCACGTTCATCAACATCACGAAACTCTCTATCTTTAACAAGAGACTATCTTCGAAGATCATTTGTTCGTAAAAGCGATTCAGCGAAGAGCATTCGTTCTAGTTTACGAAGAAGTTTCAAGTATGGAGGTGCCTTAACTAGTAGCCACGAACAATTGGTTCGTGGTGCTGAGCCAATGTCTACTACTGTAGCTATGTCTGCCGTCAGCTCTTCACACGACTCTCACAGCCGCGCCTCTGTCATATGAATATTTAATAATCCGCCTTATGTCAGGCAATACGAATATTTTATATTTTTCGCCTGAACCCGTTACAATGTATTTTTAAGCGATCGTAATGTATAGAGGAACGTTTCAATAATACTTAGTACTTACATAATATACCGACGTTTGTCGTAAGTTCCCAATTTAAAGATTTCAGCATAGTTCATAGAAGAGCTGTAAAATAGTGCAGACTGTAATAACGTTTACTTAATTATTATTACCTTAATGAATAACCAATGCGTAATGGACCCGGTTCAGATTTATTTTTCGACTATACGTCGCCGTATCTTGTTATTAATTCGTGGTTAGATATTAGGGTTAGAAAACGTAATAATTGTTAGTACTTAATCGACGCTAACATAATAAGTAGTCATAATGAAGAGGAATCTCAGTTACTTCACTATTTTTTTAAAACATTGTTAATCTTTTATTTTGTGTAAGCACAATAAATGAGCCATTTAGCTAGATATATAAGTATAGCGTAAGTGTACTTACATTGTATACTTAAAATGATAATAACCTCAGAGCTTAGAAAAAAATGTGTTTAACATTTGGAAAATGTGAAAACGATTGTTAACAATTATTTTTAATGGAAAATGTGAATCAATCAGACTAGAAATGTGTTCTCGTTAAATTATTATGAGCGTGTTTTTCTAAATTATGTGAATGTAATGTTGGCAATGAATGCATTTTAGTGTTAAATTAGTTAGTGTGATAATTTGTAAAGAGCGATGCCCCTCGCGTTTTGAGTATATTTAAACATGTGTGAAAGAAAACCCCATTTTAAGATAGAATAGAATCTCTATTTTAAATTCGATACATAAATATCGTTAGGTTGCAATTTTTTGATATTCCATTTTGTGGATAAGGATCGTTACGTAAACAATACTTAGTAATGTAATAAATACTTATTACAAAATCAGTGTTGATAATAATAACAATAAATGTTTGTGAAATCCCTTAGGTACATAATAATCGATTCACATTTGGAATCGATAGTTAAGATATCGACACGAGCAAATCGAGTCGAAGCAATAAATAAATGAATAACAGTGAATGATGTTGAATGTGTCAAGTACTCAAGTACAATGAATTTAGTTCAGTAAGCGAACTGGTTGTTCGATAGATATAGGTGAATTAACGGCTGCTTATTAGTTCCTTTCTCGCATTTATGTAAAACCGGCTACTCACTATATTATTTTAAATTATTTTTATGCAGCTCTAAACGGTTACTTCGTTATATGTATACTTTTTGGCTAATTTGAATAAAGATAATCTAGAATCTTTTAAATGTCTATCAGGTATAAACTAGCTTTTGCCTTAGCAAGTCCAACTTGCCACAAACAGATTATAAGTATTATGAATATGAAAATGTAGTTACATTCATATCTCATATACGGTTAGACTGAAATCTGCTTGTTAAGTTTTTAAGAAATAGATAAAAAAAATGTGAAACATGAAATTAAATCTAAAAATTTGTCTATTCATTTTGCGAAGTCATAAATCACTATAGAAATCGCATATAATAATGTATTTTAATTTAAAAGTACACGTTTAATAGTATAAATCGAATATTATTTTACGACTAAGAACAACCTAAAAATTGATATCAGCCGAGATGAGATCTCAGTGTGTTGTGAAATGACGCTATTTTATTTTAATCATCAGTATTAAGTTGGTTGTACTTGCATTATAAGTAGTGTGTAGCTGGCTCAGTGCATTTGTTCTTCAAAATTCTTATTTTTAGTTCTAGTCACCAATGCTTCCACCTTCTAAGTTTTAAACTTTTGGTATAAACATCACATTTTACTATAATAGCATTATATTTATAATTATATCACGTTTTTCTTGCACATCTTTTATAATTTTACCTATTTTATTTTGATTTTGCGCGTTCTTTAACATTCCACAATGTTACAATGTTTTTGAATTAGATAATAAAACATTTTTACACTACCATGGATTTATTGTTTCATTTCACCTGAAAATTAAAAAACCTTTCCTTCTATTGAAAGTGTTATAATTAGATAATGAAACTGAGTTTTGCCCATCACGAGGCAATGAACGCCTGACAGAAGATGAAAAGCATGGAACATCAAGAAGTTGTTGTAACAACTTACCAAAACAGTTGCGATAGCTCAAAAGGACGTACATTTATTGCAATAAAACATCTAAGTACTTTGCTAAAATCATTGTGCACTTGTGCATTAACTTAGCGCAGCTGTCGATCGTGACACCTGTTGTCTCAAATGTTTCTGGGAATGTGACTCTATAAAAACGTTGTTGAATCTAAACATAAATTAACACGAGTGTCACCTTTATAAGAAACATTTTGTCGCAAATATACTGAAAATTAAATACTTATGTATTTAATCAAAACAAACGAGCAGACGAGTTAAGTATTTTACCTTGAACTTTTTGCATTTAAAATTACCGCCAAATGGAACCGGAAATATACAAATAGAAGTTAAAATATTATTTATGTGATAACGATATAATATGAATCAAATTGACAGTGATAAGTTAGCTTCATTTATTATAAAATTGGTGTATAATTATCACTTTTTATTAGCAATTGTTTAAGTTCTTAAATAAAATTATTTAATAACCATAGACAAAAATTTACAGGCGTTGTTGTGTATATTCGTCACAATCAATCAAGCTATTATACTCAGTGTCACCTGCACATAAGGATCATAATGGCGCGTCACAAATTATAGTCAATGTAATGTCTATTAAAAATATTAGGATACTTTGTATAAAAATTGAGTTGTTTCCGCTAGCCGTCGCGTCGTGTGCGGATTGCGGATTGCGAAAAGCGTTGCTGTGGATTACTCATTAGATCTTCATGGCTTAATACTTTAGGAAATAAAGAAAAGGCGATTGTTTTAATGGAAATCTGTAATTGTGTGTTGTGCTATAATTGTGTTTGATTGATGTGAACGATGATAACCAAAATGCAATCACAAGCGAACGTTGCCGTGCCACAATCTGTCACGACGCAACCACAGTCTCAGCAAATTGTTGGTGTTGGAGTTCCAGCAAATGCGGTGATATTGAAAATGTCAGATATTCAGCAGATCTCCACAGTGGGTACGTATTCAATTAATATTTTAGTGTGAATGCAAAATCATGAAAGAAAACTGAAACTTTCCGTGGACTTGGGAATTTTCCTAAGAATTTCAATAAGCCTTCAGGAAGCTTTGTGTTAGTAAGATATTTATAATTCGGATTGGGTGATTTGATCTTGATTTGAATATAAAATTGCTGTTTTGTTTCAATGCATCTGTTTTATGGCATTGTAAATTCAATTTGTATATTTTTTATGTATAGGTTAGGCAGCTGTGTGTTTTTTTTTTACTTTTTTGTCTACAGTAGCGTTAGCAGCCGTGGTGTAGTGGAACAGTACCGTGGCCGTGTAGTTTATTGTTTTTCCACTAAAAATATTATTTCCATGAATGAATATACATTTACATTCATGAATTTTGTTAATGAACTTACCTAAATCTATTTATAAATATATTTATGTAACAAGTTATACAGAGAAAAAGTTAGATTCATTTCTATATAATCCATTGCTAATTTTGTTTTAATACCTAGTTTGGTCATTTGGGTTGTCTTAGGGTTTTATTAAAATAGGTATTTACATAGATAGGAATATAACATTTTTTCTCATATTGATAGACAATAATTTTTATGACATGTAGTAATCTTACAGAGCAGTATAAATTTAAATTTTATTTACTTTGCATAGTGGCAACGGCTGAATGCTGCATATTTCAATCCTAAATATGATTTCTCAAACCTTATTCCTGTTACATTATTAAAAGACTTGAATTGGGTAAAATTTTCTTAACTTGTTGAGTACCATCATTACAGACACAATTAAAGAACAATAGGTTGCGGTCACCGGTGACCGCTCGGTGTTTGACAGTTTAAATGATATGCAAAAATATTTAACAAATCCCATTTTTGTTATGATTTTAAACTATCTGTTGTAACTACACAGTTACTAGTAAAAAGTATCAATTATCTTAATCCTTATCTTTATTTCTTTCTTCCCTAGGACTGTTGGAGCTTGCCCACCGAGAGTATCAAGCAGGCGACTATGAAAGTGCCGAACTACACTGCATGCAGCTATGGAGACAAGATGGCACAAACACTGGTGTCCTTCTACTCTTATCTTCCATTCACTTCCAATGCAGAAGATTAGATAAATCTGCTCACTTCTCCACCTTGGCTATCAAACAGAATCCCTTGTTAGCTGAAGCTTACAGGTATGAAATATTTAATTTTGTAGTTTTCACCGTAGACTGAAATATGCTCTATACAAAATGTCTCAATTCTCTATCAATCTTTAGTAAGCCAATCTAGAGAGATTATTGAAATAAATAACACTGTAAGACTTTATATTAACCTATTCAATATCTGCTACATTTACTATCGGTGCTTTGCTCTTTCTTTTTAGGGAATAAAAGCTATTATGCTATGTCAACACACTATTTCTAATCCAATGTTCTCATGACATCATATTTCATAAACAGTTAGTGTTGTCCCATTGGGAGTAGGAACAAAATGGCCTCAGTCAGTCAGACATATTTGCTAAATGAAGAACAATATCAAGTTAGGTTCTATTGTCATTGTGTCATGCTCTTCACCTTGGTGTATGTTATACCTTCATGAACAATCAACTTAAGCTTGGAAGCACAACAATGATACTACATTATCTTGTTCTGAACAAAAGGAATAGTTCAAATTCCAGGCCTTGGTTTGCAGTCACAATGGAAAACTAAGTAAACATGTTATGACAAATAAATAAAAAGATAATAAGTTTTTTAAACATATTTTTTAATAAAGATCATTTTTCTGCATAACAAAGAACACAATGTTCTGCAAAATAAAATAAAATATTTGAAGTAAATTATTTATTTGGTGATTGACTCTGAATAATTTTTTTACAAAGTATATCAAAGTAAATCAAACTAACATGTTTGTATGCATGCAATTACTATTTCTGTAACATGTCCCAGCTGAAATAATTTGATGTGTCACTGACAAAATATTTTGGCAACGGCAAACCATTAAAAATTAGGCCATTTTGAAGTTGTTGAAGTGGATTGCACCCATTTGAAATACATGTTGTTTATTTTGAAATGTTATTTTACATGAAATCATTTGTATGAACATCTCTACCTTAATGGAGAATAATTGTAGTAAAAAACATTTATTCTGCTATTCATCATTTATAGTCATTTTTCTATTGTGTGATATATATGTATTGTGACATCTCTACGCTTCAGTTCTTTGTGGAAACAATAAATTAAGACATTGTTTTACATATCCATTATTATACATAAAACATACATGTACGTATATGGTATCAGACGACGCCGCGAATGTTAACATTTGAAAACCCATTTTCAAATTGTTATACAAATTAACATAATTCGATTCGGAAAGGTCACACAATCTGAACAAGTCGCACCTTTGCTATGGCTACGAATTTAATTTACTAAGAAAATCGGTATAAAGTTGCTAATTAGGTATAGGAAGGATTTATACGCAACGGCGTTGGAAAGACGTAATCAGAAGCCGTTTTAATTACGTCTGATCCTAATAATTCCTCTTGCGTGTTCCACTTGCGATGAGCCAGTTATACCTAACAATTACGTATTGTGTACAATTCGTCGTTCTACTTTAAATCCTCATAAAGTGTCTTCCTGCAGTTACATCTGAAGAATACATTTTATAACGGTTAGAGATCGTGAAGATATAGACTCGAATAACAGCATAGGAAATCTGCATAAAAAATGTTTATTGTTTGCAACAATACTGCTATTGGCGATAGTCATTACTGCTAGGTTGGTGCTAGTTGATTGTAAGAAATCGTAGTTCATCAGGTAAAGCAAAGAAATGTAACAAGCTAGTGCCCCAGCATTTGGTGGCAGCGATATTTACGATGTAGGGGAAACGGAGGGTTGTGCGCTTGTGCGAATCTACAAAAAACGTGAGGGTCTTTTTACGAACGCCCTTGTATGTCCAACGAGTAATTTTGCTAATTGAAAAACTTTTTGTTTTTATCCTCTAGCAACCTGGGCAACGTGTATAAAGAAAGGGGTCAGCTTCAAGAGGCTTTGGAGAACTACAGGCATGCCGTCAGATTGAAGCCGGACTTCATCGATGGCTACATTAACCTGGCGGCCGCTCTTGTGGCCGCTGGAGACATGGAACAAGCTGTTCAGGCCTACGTCACGGCACTACAATATAACCCTGTAAGTAAACTAGCATAGACTGTAGATTGTATGTAGGTAGGTGATACTTATTAAGTACAACTCGATTTTTGAAGTAACGGTTAGTTGAATAATAATCACCATTTGCAGATGCAGCCATTAATTAAATATAAAAACGACCATTCGTTTTATAACCGAGGGGTTACCTCATCATCGTTGACGTTGAATACACGGTCACCCTACCTACATGTAATTCGCAAGGGGTCCAATAACCGCCGTGCTCGTTCTTATCAATGTAAATTACGCCACTTTTGGTCGATCGAAATCATGTTTAATGCTATTTCTGATCTGATTAATCAATTAGTTAAATTATAATAGCTAATCTTTACATCCTTATCACTATATTTATATTTTAATTTAATTTAAAAAGCATTTAAATAATCATGTACCAGATACATGTCTGTTCTAATTGTGAATCATCCAGCTATTCGTAGCTATCGCTGACAAGTTGATATTGCCATATTATACTGTAAAGACAGCAATTCCGGCGATGATAAGTTTTATAAGGCGATGATAGTAAGAATTACGTGTTATCAATTTAACTCACTCAAACTTAAAGTCCTATGCCTAGTAGCACTGTCGCGGAGAACCTAACGGGTAACCGGGGTTCCGGCTCGACGTGCAGGAGAAGGAACGGTGTGGTTTTTAGTCAGTAAGAGTCTGGCACTCCCTCCCGCCTCACCCAGGCTGAGCAGTCAATCGATGATTTTCCCCCCTTAAAAAAAATGCCTAGTAGCACTAGCAAATGCACATAACAGCTGCTGAAAAACATTAAGCAATTATTATGAGCATAAAGTTATTAATTTTTATTACTAATTACCAATATCAATTTACTTATTAATTACCAGTACACGTGCAACTGAATTTTATCGCATAAGACTCATTTTTGCATTAAATGTGTGGTGATATTCTTATTTCAGCAACAATGTGGTAGTTAAGGTGATGGTAGTTATTAGACATCGTATCTGGTAACCGTACGGGCTCCACGCTGCCAACGACATAATTTTGCCCTTCACTGGCCTAGAAAATTAGAACTGACGTATTGGGCAATTGTACTATTGTACTATTGTACTATTGTACTATTTGTCATACAGTATTAATTATGTTACAAATTATTCCATTCGTAAGTTAACAGTATTTTACGTGATAACGGCTACTTGGGAATTATACCAGAGAACCTTCATTTGCGATTAAATGTTTAGCACTATTAAGATGTCATTAAAAGTATTAAGTTATATAGCTACATAATCTACAATATTTATAAGAGAAAACATATCACTTGGTGCTCTGTAGTTACAGATACTAATCTTGACATCGAGTACATTCCAATAATAAGCCCTTAGTTTACGAGACGAAATTCAAACAACTCTAGATAAATGCCAATATTGATCAGTTCGACACTTGATTACAATATCTAACAAAAAATTGGTCGTTAGACGATCGCTTAAATAGTTTGAGCCTATGCAATAACTTGTCTTATTGCACTGAGCGATAGTGCCGCAATGCGGTGAAGTGGTTGCGATGCAGTTAACCTTTACCTTTGTATTAAGCTAGAATAGGGCGTTGATATTACCCCTACCTAAACTAAAATGGCCGAGATTGGTTCGAAAGCGCCTCTGTCTAGACTACAGACAACGAGATGTTCTATTTTGAGATAAACCAGACTGAAAACGCTTTCTCTAAACAAGACTAGTCTTAGTCATTATTAGTTAGTACTGTTTCATCGTAGTAAACATTGATACAAAATCTGTACTTGTTTCTTTAGTCTCTGAAGTCATTCATTATTTATGCCAATAAATGTATTCGTTTTATTTGAGTTTATATTTGCTTAGTCATGTGATGGACGTTAGGATGGATGTGTTTTAGAGACTAAATCAGATACATAAACAATCGAATGGTCAATATAATTATGCTGTCATACATTTGCATCGATATTGATTGATAGTTGTCTGTAAAAAGTCGACTAGTAAAAAACTTTAGCCTAACCATAACTTGCATATATTCCTGATACAGAATACATTATGTTGATAAGAAATATTATTATGTAAATTCTTATGTTTTTTTATTATCTATTCTTTGCCCTGGTAATCATTTTACAGTATAATTTTATAACACCGGAAAAGTGTACATACTTTGTCTCTAGCTTATCTATGTAAGGAATTTAAATAAGCGTTAGTAGGTAACACGTTTATGACTTAATGAGGTTATTCTATTGATACCTAAATGCATTTGATTTTATAGCTACAACTAAACTGTTTATGGTTTTAACCTCATTCAGCATTACTAAGGTACCTATCTGTATTTATATAATTATGTTTCTGTAAATTGTATATGAGATGCATATTGTATGTATGCTATCTTATCAGTTTTAATTTAAGCTACGTTTTATCTGATCTAGAAAGATCCGACCTACTGTTCGGATATACAATTTTCTTAATAAAATTATGACCAGACTTGTGTCTTGATATTAATTTCAATACAAAACCAGTGGTGAATCATTGTGGTGCACAAATGGATTTGCTGGCAACCGGCAAGTGTGTAGCATCAATAACAAAAGTGTTTTTATATACAAAAATAGAGAACTGTCAGCAATTAATAGCTACAATTTTACAATATAAACTGAATATTTTAGTATTCGGATTACATTCTGCCGTAAAATGGTTTTATAGGCCTTTTAACGACACCCGCCCACTGGCATAAACATTTTTACGTCGGATTTACATTGTAACTTTGGAATCACATAAAAAGATAATTTGCAAATATTTATAATATCAGAGACAATGATTACTAGTAGTACTTAACTAACATTATGTTATTTGTATGAGTTTAATTATTTATCTTAAACTTACGTATTATTATATCGCCAAATAAAAATACGGTTTTAACACATTATTTTGCCATTCAAGGTTTTTAATAACGTCAATTATCATATTCTATACTAGCTTCTGCCAGCGGCTTCGCCCGCGATCCCAGGGGGAAAATGCCAATGTATTACATTTACATCACACCATACTCTACCTCTGTTCCGAATTTTTATTATAAAATGGAGTAACTTCTCCCGTTTTCCCAATATTCCCCTTCACTGCTCTGCTCCTATTGATCGTAGCGTAATGAAAAGTATACTATAACCTGCCCAAGAGTATGAAGAATAATTGTGCCAAATTTCGTTAAAATCCGTCGAGTAGTTTTTGTTTCCATAACGAACATACAGACAGACAGACAGACAGACAAAAATTTTACTGATTGCATTTTTGGCATCTGTAGCGATCCCTAACCACCCCTTGATAGTTATTTTTTAAATATATTTTATGTACAGAATTGACCTCCCTACAGATTTATTATAAGTATAGATTAGTAAACAATAAACGAATCGATCATTATACAACTTAACCGGATTAAGTAGCTAAACATAAACTTTGAATATCAAGGCTTGTAATTTTTTTATCTGGTAAATTATCATAAGTCCTTGTTGTCAGCAATTACCTATTGTTACGCGTATGTATGCTACCAACTACCTATGCGGTAAAATTCCACGACATGTTTTCCTTTACTACCGCGTGGCGATTGCCGATGCCCACTTTATTATATTAGAAGGTGACCTCATCGTGGAAAAACATTATTCTTATTTCAGATCCGTTCATATAAATGTTCCTTGTTGATAAAATTTCTTCTTCCAAGACTTGCCAGTTTGTAATATTGTATAATACATAGATAGCTAAGCCGTCGGCGAACGATGTTTGAGGCCGTAAATCAAATTTATTGCCAAGGAGATTACACTACGATCCCAGAATTAAAAGTGTTCGTTATTAATTGCTGTGCAAATTCCTCGTGGCTAATTTATTTGCGAAAACATTTTCTATTAAGGCACACGCAATTATTCAAATTGTGTTATTGTTTTCCTTTTAGAAAAGTATATTATGTACAATACATCCTTGTGTGTAGTAATTGTGCATAAATGTCCATAATAAATCATTGTTAATGTTCGACTGGTGATAATAGTTCATAATGACCATTCGCTTAAAATAAATCGTGTATCAGATTAGCTCGTTAAAGGAAAAACATAACACCTATGGTTTGAAAGGAACTATTTTAGATGTTCTCGAACAGTGTATGGTAATTGATGAAGAGAGTAAATCTTTAGTTCTTTGTCTTGTTTTTACCCCGAATCCTAGAATTATAGGCTCGTCGATAAACATTTAAAAGCACACCAGAAGTGATACTACGTATAGAGACATTTCCTTATAGAATCCGGAGTAATTTCCACCTGACACATCTTGTTGTTTTCAACAAGGCAGACAGGCTGTGAAAACTGTTTTGTTGAAAAATACATCATTATGATATAGCGTTTAGTTTGATTGACATCAATGCTGGTAATTATCAGATAATTTTAGTGAAAAAACAATGTATAGTCAAAATATTAACTTATCAATGATATTTTTGCACCGTAATTTACATGAAAGGATAAATGTATAGATAGTAATAGACTATTCATTACTGGATTAATTTACATTTAAGTTATAATTATTCATCACCTGAAAACTGTTTATAATATTTAGTCGGATATGGCTCACATTCGATTAGAAGCTGTTTTCTTAGATCTACAATAGGAGGCATTCGTCCTTTTATCTGAGATCATTCTCACAATAATCATAATGGCTATGTTTTACTTTTGCGTACAAACATAAATATTATTTTTTAGTTTACTTTTTCCTGTTGATGACATCTCGAACACGCGTAGTGAATAAGTCATCCTAAAACTAGTTATTTGGAAGAAAATTTAAAGTGTTTATTTTGTTCACAGGACCTTTACTGCGTCAGGAGTGACTTAGGCAATTTGCTCAAAGCTCTAGGACGTTTGGACGAGGCAAAGGTAAATATAATTTTCTCCTCGACTTTCTGGTTTGCTCCGAAGTTAACAGGATTCTCTAAAAGTTCCCATTGTACTGAAACAAATTAGCGTACTCTCTGCTCTGTAAGCGTAACTGCTCTTGCGTACATACATCAGGACAATTTGCAATTTGCGTCAGCTTTTTCTTTATAATGGTTTCAACAATTAGTTCTAATTCTTGTCCAAGCTTTACACTCCAATGGAGTCATTAAAGACCTTGTTGAAACTATTATTAACTCGGTGACACAGGAAGGGAAATCGAATGCTTTGTTTGGCCACACAACTTCTGTTTCCAATCTTGTTGCACATTATAATTCAGTCACAAAATATTATACATCTTATGTGTATCGTTATCTGATAATAAAATTACGTTTGATAAAGTTTGAGTCACTGTTTATGTCAATGTATGACATTGACTGAATACAAGGGCATATCTGCGTAACATATTTTACACGTACATTTTTTATTAAAGCTTGCCGTACACATGGGTCTTATATTTCACTTTAGTCATGTACAAAATAGAGTACATTTTTGTACAGTAATAATAACACAAGCTATTTTATTTGGGGAAGGGGGGAAGCTCAATATTTTGTGACAGCGATTTGCGTTTTATTCCCAATTCAATTCTCTACACAACATCTGTAGTAATAATTTCACTGACAATATTTTAAACAATGTATTTATATATTTTACATGTAACATGTATAATGTCTTCTACTGTTTCCTAACAATGTTGTGTGGAGTATTGAACAGTAAATGAGAGTAAACTAATTCACGTAGTGTTGCTAAAAGTTTGTGTCAACATTAAATCCTGTTTTCTTCAAATCTTATTTAGTTAACATTATATTTCTTGTGCTTGTAGTGAATTCTTATAACAATGGAGGATCAGAGGAGACTGTAGTGTTTATTTCATTTAGTGGTATGATGTAGCGAGTTTATTTGTATTATACGATTTGGTCATCCACATCATGCCTGTCGCAATACTCTGCTCGATGACAGCGTGAGCTGGACAATGATCCTCTCGAATCATAAATATTTGATTTGCAATATAATTTGTTTATGAAGACGATCGGGTGAAACAAATTGACTCAAAATCAACTAATTTTCTATTATATTTTCACAAGGTATTGTCTGGTAAGGCAAGTGTAGGTGTGCCCGCTGCTGTATCTAGCTGGGTTATGGTTCGTACGACACTCGCTATCCCGCCACGATGACACCATGCCTGCTGCAGGTAAAGTGGAAAAGGTTTGCAAGACATAAAGTAAGAACAGGATTCGGATACAAGTCGTGCTCTTTGACTTAGATATTGTCGTGACCATCTTCTCTCATCGGCTAGGAAGTGGAAGCGTTCACTTGTGGTTGGTTCGTCTGTCTCGAGATGTATGATTACTTTCTGTATACAACAGACGTATGGATGTGCGGTTGCACTTTGTTTGCACTGGTTTTTCGTTTGCATTTCCTACTGATGTGTGTGGCAGTCGGCGTAGTCTCGTTTCTCTAGGGTGCATTTTGCGTAATATTTATTGTGTTTGCGATTGATGTTTGGTGATCGCAGCCTTGCAGTTCCCATCGATCACCCAGCAGCACTCGTAGCGAAGGTGTAATTATTGACGTTGGCGTAACAAACATTTCAGAACACCATTACATTAAAACACAATTATGTTCAGTAATTAATATTTGTTTTTTCCGTGTGTGTAGGCTTGTTACTTGAAGGCAATAGAAACGAGGCCAGACTTTGCAGTGGCTTGGAGTAACTTGGGATGCGTGTTTAACGCACAAAGTGAAATCTGGCTGGCCATTCATCACTTTGAGAAGGCCGTTGCACTAGATCCAAATTTCTTGGACGCTTACATTAACTTGGGAAATGTACTCAAGGAAGCCAGAATTTTTGACAGGTGAGTCAAATACATTAACAACTTGTTTAAAAACAATCTTGAGAGTCGAAACTTAAAACGTATAATTTGTGCTTTCATAAGCTCACTATTGTATTAATGGTTTAATATAAGGTACATTTTTGTAATATCTTATACTAGTATTAATATGCGACAACGTGTTAATTAACAATATTTTTTCATGTTTAATAGGGCCGTGGCTGCATATCTTCGTGCGTTAAATTTATCGCCTAACAATGCTGTGGTACACGGCAATTTGGCGTGTGTTTACTATGAACAAGGATTGATAGACTTGGCAGTTGACACCTATAGACGAGCCATTGAGTTACAACCGAACTTCCCTGACGCATATTGTAATTTAGCAAACGCTCTTAAAGAGAAAGGACAAGTTGCTGACGCAGAAGAATGCTACAACACAGCTTTGAGGCTATGCCCCTCACATGCGGACTCGCTGAACAACTTGGCCAACATTAAACGCGAACAAGGATACATTGAGGAAGCGACGCGGTTGTACTTGAAGGCTTTGGAAGTTTTCCCCGAATTTGCTGCCGCACACAGCAACTTGGCGTCAGTACTACAGCAACAGGGCAAGTTAACTGAAGCCCTCATGCATTACAAAGAGGCGATACGAATTCAGCCAACTTTCGCTGATGCGTACAGTAACATGGGCAATACGCTCAAAGAGATGCAAGATGTAGCGGGCGCTTTGCAGTGCTACACCAGAGCTATACAGATAAATCCTGCATTTGCTGATGCTCACAGCAATCTTGCTAGCATTCACAAAGATTCCGGAAATATTCCTGAAGCGATCCAGTCGTACAGAACAGCTTTGAAATTGAAACCAGACTTCCCTGATGCGTACTGCAATTTGGCTCATTGCTTGCAAATTGTCTGCGATTGGACTGACTACGAGTCACGCATGAAGAAGCTCGTTAGCATTGTGGCCGAGCAGCTCGAAAAGAACAGATTGCCCTCAGTTCATCCTCATCATTCCATGTTATACCCACTTACACATGACTATAGAAAAGCGATTGCCGCACGTCATGCTAACCTTTGCCTTGAGAAAGTACAAGTTCTACACAAGGCTCCGTTCAAGTTCCCGCGAGAATTACAAGGACGTCTACGTATCGGTTATGTGAGCAGTGACTTTGGCAACCATCCAACGTCACACTTGATGCAGTCGGTGCCCGGTCTGCACGATCGTACTAAAGTTGAGATCTTCTGCTACGCTCTGAGTCCAGATGATGGAACTACATTCCGGTCCAAGATTGCTCGAGAGGCGGAACACTTCATCGATTTATCTCAGATTCAGTGTAACGGCAAAGCTGCCGATAAAATCTACGGCGACGGTATACACATTCTTGTTAATATGAATGGTTACACAAAGGGAGCGCGTAACGAGATATTTGCGCTGCGCCCGGCCCCCGTGCAAGTTATGTGGCTCGGATATCCGGGAACTAGTGGGGCTAGCTATATGGACTATTTGGTGACGGATGGAGTTACGTCGCCCTTGGAGCTGGCAAGCCAATACAGTGAGAAGATGGCTTACATGCCACATACGTACTTCGTGGGCGATCACAAGCAAATGTTCCCTCATTTGCAAGAAAGACTCATTCTCAGCGACAAAGTGAAATCTCATAACAATTTAGGAAGTGTAGCAGACAACGTGGCTGTCATTAATGCTACAGATCTGTCGCCGCTTGTCGAAACTACGGATATTAAAGAGATTAAAGAAATCGTAAGAGCCGCTCGTCCCGTGGAAATTTCTCTGAAAGTAGCGGAGTTACCGACTACCACACCTATCGAGACCATGATCGCTTCTGGACAAGTACAGGTACGGAATAACTCTATAGTTGTTATTTATAATTTAATTTATCATTTGAAACATATGTTATAAAAGTATTGTTTACTTTCAGACTTCAGTGAATGGAGTAATTCTACAAAACGGACTAGCGACGACACAGACGAACAATAAGGCTGCGACGGGAGAGGAAGTGCCACAGTCGATAGTAATAACAACTCGTCAACAATACGGTCTCCCTGATGACGCAGTGGTGTACTGTAATTTCAACCAGCTATATAAAATTGACCCATTGACCTTGCACATGTGGGTGTACATACTCAAGAATGTACCAAACAGCGTTTTATGGCTGCTAAGGTTCCCAGCTGTAGGAGAACCCAACCTCCAGAACACTGCTCAACAACTAGGTAAGATAACTAAGAGAAAATTTCATTATGTAATTATTTTAATACCAATCTCGCGCATACCTTATCAACTGAAGTTGCGCCATACTTAGCATGTTTATCTTGTAGACGATAGAAATATTTACTGCCCAGACATCCGTCTAAGCTAGATTAAAAAAACATGTAATGTAGACCATTGTTCACATAGAAAGCAAAACCTGCATTCAATACTGAGAGAAAACGAATCAATTGTTATGCAAACAATGAATCAAGTTTATAATCTGATTGCTAGTGCGGGAGGTAAAAATCTAGCAGAATGATGTGAAGGTTATTTTATTAAAGAATGTTTTGTTCCTATTTAGGGTTGCCCCCTGGTCGTATTATTTTCTCCAACGTGGCGGCTAAAGAGGAGCACGTACGCCGTGGACAACTGGCCGATGTTTGCTTGGACACTCCCCTGTGTAATGGACATACCACCAGCATGGACATCTTGTGGACTGGCACGCCCGTCGTCACGCTGCCAGGAGAGACGCTAGCTTCCAGGTAAATATAAATTGAACGAACAAAGTTGTTGGAACGAGTTTATTCTGATGTGACAATTAGGAGACAAAAAAGCAGATTTATTAGGTAAGCAATAAGTACCGCCTAAACATCAGCAACCATAAAGGAATAACAACTGTGTTACCGGCCTTTTGCCCATTCGTGCTACAGCGTGGCTCTCCCATGATTATAAGACGAAGATACTTTGCAGTAAGAATATTATACTAATAAAATTATCTTGTTTTACAGAGTGGCAGCGTCTCAGTTAAATACGCTCGGCTGTCCGGAGCTGATCGCTAGAACGAGGATAGAATATCAGGATATAGCTGTAAGACTAGGAACCGATAGGGAATAGTAAGTATAATTTTATTACACTTAACTATGATTACCTCATTTTGTGGAAAGTACTTAACAAAATTGCAAACTGCGATGTTTTACTTAATCTGGCAATCTTCGAATATATTTCAACTGTGCCATTATATTTCCTATTTTTATTTACAGCTTAAAAGCCATCCGAGCTAAGGTTTGGGCAGCGCGTACAGAGAGTCCGCTCTTCGATTGCAAAGCGTACGCCACCGGGTTAGAAATGTTATACAATAAGATGTGGCAGAGGTACGCACGAGGCGACCGCCCAGACCACATAAAGGCGGATAAATAGACTGGGGTTCGCACCGGCAAAAACGATGAAGGGACAGCTAAGAAACGCCGATGGTGCTAAGTGATTGTGAACCAGTAAGTGGAAGTTTGTTGGACGTTCTTATAGTGATGGTGATGTTAAAGCCGAGTGCGGACTGCGTGTGATATTAATTGTACGGGCTGGAAGCTCTTGTTTAGTTCCGATGGTCAGCCGGTGTCGATCAACGTAACGTGATCAATGTAGTTGTACTTTAATTAAATCGTACTTTATAGACATTGATCTGTATATCATCGCTCTTTAGATGACTGATCAAATTCTGTATGTTGTATAGTTTGATTGGTTGAGAATAAAGTCGGTAATCAAAAGTATCCTTTACGGATCTGACACGACTTTTGGGGCGACTGATATATTAAGAATATGATGTTGAGTATGACCTGGTAACGTCTAATTTACGGTAAGTAACTATACAAACAGGCTCTCGGGTATTTGAACATGCAATTTATTCTCGCTAGTTTTTTATGTATCTCGATATCTTCCTTATCTGTAGTAGTGCGCTAAGAGGTTCCTAGCTGTAATCTAACGAATGCAATACTGATTTAGTCCAAGCTGAACTGTGTTAAGGTAGCACTAAATGTATGAGCAATAATATTATGTAACATTAGTTATAAAAGTGCCCTTTATATTCTGTATAATGTTACAGGCAATGGGTTTAAGATATACATAAAAAATATGTTGCTTATTATACTTTTTGCTGAAATAGTTGCACAGCTTGTATTAAATATCAATGTAAAAATAGTAGATATAATTTTGAGGCCAGAAATCTGTAGGAAAAATACACCGTTTTATTGTTTGTCAAATAAAATACAGTACTCAAAGTTAATCAATTCATATCAATAACTAGTATATAATATACTACACTCTTACTAAAATAGATAGGGAAGTTTACGTAACATAGAATCGTTTTTTGATGAGGCCTTATTATAATGAATTGTGTTTGTATTCCATTTGCCAAAGTTATGAGTAATTTAATATGTTATTGAAACTGCGCTGTGAAGAATGGAAGACGTCTCTGTGTATACTAAACATGTGTCAGTTTGTATTGAGACCAGAGCCTACGTAAGACTGAATTTCCGGAACACTAACAGTGCAGACAGTTAATAAATTAGTTCAATTATAGTTATGGTTGCTGGCAGCCGTTGGCGACTCGTTTATAGTGTTAAGAGACTCGTGTAATTCTAAGTAATCATTTGTGATACCAACGTACTGTTATAAAATGGCCATGCTTGACGAATATAGTTTTAGACATCTTTTACCCAGCGATTGTAATACTTTAAACACAGTTTGCAGTGAACGCACTTAATTTAGTTTCAATTAAAGTTATTTTCTGTATATAATTTTGCTTATTTTGGAACGTTAATATTATCGAAATCAACTTATCTTTGATGAGTTTTGAAATGTACTTTATGTTGAATGATTAATTTTTTATAACATTTATTCGTGTTTTGAAGTCGTTATAACTATTCCAGTGTAGGTATGTTAGTAGTTTCTGATTCTACTTAAGGTGTTTTAGCCTTTTAAATTGTACTACTTAATCGTAATACAAGTTTAGAGAGATAACATTATAGTAAAGTTAGTATTCACTCAGTATACTGTAATAGCTATTTATTTATTTATTGCTCATGAAATGTTTGTTGAAATAACGTTCTATAATGTTGTCTTCTCAAATAAACTACTGGTTGAAAGAAAGCATACTGTAGAATAAGATGTTATGGCTATAAATGTGACTTATCAGTTATTTTGTCATTGTCTGCCGTTTTTGTTGTAAATAATAATTAAGTCTAGAATATAATAGAATGATAATAAAAATGTGGTTTTATTTATCGTTTCTTCCTCTTTCCTGATTGTAAAATTGTCTTATGACTTACCGTTTATCGTTGATGATCTTTTCTTTGAGTACGTATTATCGTTTATTGTTTTATAATCCGTTATACGTCATAGTCAAAAGTTTATTCGCGGAATGATTGGTTTATCCTTTAACCCGTCGTGTGCCGGAACGTAGATCTACGTGAGACACGCGGATATAGGTTTGACCAAAGAATTCGAGCGTATTTTTAACCAAACCTAGAAATACCCAACTTCAGTTAAACACCGAATGTAAAATAATCGGTTTCGGGCTGTACCTGTCAATCTTTGAAGCGACTGGCAGACTCTGTAATACACTTTAATTTTAATAATTTTCATTGATGTTTGAGACTAATGAATATAAAAAGTTTTGTGCAGTCATAAACAATAAAAACTTATTCACGTCAAAATGCCTTTTTTAATTCATAAATATGTTGGCCTAGGCTAAACAAGTTCAAGAAGATGAATAGGTAACTACCCCGATATGGTAGGCGGATAAGCTAGAATCACATAGTGGAAGACGGAAGCTATAGAGAGCGAGTGAAGCGATCTTGCTAAAAATCGTCCATCGTATCCGTGGCAAAACATAAGATATCCGTGACCTCTCTATTCCTATTTTATATAATTTACCATCATACCTACTTTTCGTTTTATCCAATGTTTGGTTCCTTAAACTTATAAAGCTCCGTCACTAACACACCGTTGAGTTTATACCTGATAGCTTCAGGTTAAAGTAGCACATGTTTGTGAGAACAACGCACGATGTGAACGAATGTAAAGGCAAGGTTGGCTGGGCTGGGACCAACTAATCTCTTAAAACGCCAACAGGTGGCGTATCAATCGTTTCATGGTTTTATCTTCACAGCAGACCTATTATTATTTTTAGCAGAAATAAATTGATTTGTTATTTCCAAATTATCAAAATTAGTGTTTACTAACTTATATTAAAAAATATCACTATGGGACTGGTTTATATTCGAGAGCCTCGGGTATTTCTCATAGCAATATATAAAATCAAACAAGTTGCGATAACAAAATCAGAAGTACTTCTATCTTCTTGACTGCGTTTAGTCTTGGGTCTGTAAAGTTTAAATACCTACACGGTTAACCTTTAACATTTTTTTTTATTAAAATTTCCCGCACTAGTACTTTCTTCTGTGCCGAGAGTGCGGTTTCAATCACACTAATATTATAAATGTGAAACTTTCTTTGTATGGATGTTTGTCCGTCAATCACGCTGAAACTACTGAACGGATTTTGATGAAATTGGTATACAGACTGGGTATGGGTTGACTTAGGTGATAAGGATACTTTTTATCCCTATAAATACTCCCATGGGTTAAATTGGAAAACACGGGCAAGGCCGCGGGTAAAAGCCAGGTTCACATAAATCACATAGATGTCACCCAGAAAAGGTCACTCAAAGGCTTGCATCGTGCAGATATCAAAACCGCTACCCATCACGCGGCAGCCGTTTGCCCAGCCACTGTGCCAACAGCCAACATCAAAATTAAATCAAATCACTAGTCAAGTCACCACCAATCAAACAGTATGTGTGAAAAATATCACCTGAGGATATAGATTGTAAAGATTTCAACATTTAACTCGTCGAGTACCGGTTTTGCAGACACAATTATAGAACAATAGGTTGCGGTCACCGGTGACCGCTTGGTGTTTGACAGTTTAAATAAAGTAGCTAAGTACAAGGTGTATGTAATTATTAATGTTATTTATGAGGTAAGTTCCTTTTAATTCATCATCATCATCAACAGCCTATAGAGGTAAATGCTCACCGCTGAGCAAAGCCTCTCACACGGAGAAGGTTTGAGCAATAATCACCACGTTTGCTCATTCCGGGTTGGCGAATTTGAAGATATTGATTCATCATTGAGGATCGGAAGGTATATTAAGTGATATATCCTTTTACATTACCTACCTAAAATAACATAAAACATTCTAAGTAGTTAAGGTTTTCGAAAAGGTTCGAGTTCATTTCATTGTTTTGGATTGGTCGCATTGATTGACCCTGTCGCTATAGCCAGGGTCGACCTGGCTGTGTAATCAGGGTGCCTACAGCCTTTTCGAGCTCTCTGCAGACTTGATTAGGGCTAAGTCCAAGACTACTTCACTCTCTATTTAGCATTAGACTCCATTGATAATTTACAATCTAGGCTCCTCTTGATTGGCCTATTTATACCCTGTTTCTATTCACCTGTTCTCTTACGACAGGTCACCATAAGGTGGAGATAGCGTAACACGTTTTATCGAACACCTTACTAAGGTAGGCTTTAATTTTATAGGTATGTATTTAGGACCGAATTACAGTGTGTTATGGGTCAATAAAGGCATAAAGGTAGACCAGCGTGAGTCATCTTGTAGGGAGAAAAGGGCGCCGCAATCTCGCTTCTGTTTACTATTGTCTGGACAAAAGCCCTAAAATATACCTACTAAGTTTTTCTTGTGTTGTGGATGCCTTTAGGTACAATATTCTTCCAATTCAGAATTATTCTGAGCGAGAAGAGAATCGCGCTCAGCCACTGCTCCAAGCTTGCAGTCGGGGTGATTCTTTATTCTTTATTCGATACGTGTGAAAAGTTGTCTTTCGTCGTTTCATACTTTCATTTCAGTAAAGTCAAATCAGGTCCCCCTGACGGCCTGACCCCTGACTTTTCGGTAGTGCCTACGTATAAGTGCACTACCGAAAGTCGAAAAGCTTTCATTACCCTTAAGTCTGATATTTCATAAATGATTTGTTTATTTCCAATTACAAGTAGAATATTAATAATGTTAATAATGACCTAGTTGCCAGTAAAAACATTGTGTTCTCAATTTCGAAAGGGAAGTCTTGTAGCCTTTGTAGGCATGTTGTGGTTTGTCAGTTTCGTCAACAACTGGCGCAGCTGCATTATAACAATGTGTCCCGTGCCCAGCTACCTGTAGGAACGTCTACATGTCCCCACGAAATGTTTTGTTATAAGAGAACCAGATAGCAACCGCAAATTTTAATTTCTGTCTGTTGATAATATTAAATTTTTTGTTTAGAATTTTTAATGAGGTATCTACATTACATCAATTAAGCAACAACAAATTGTGATTTATACGAAGTATGGTATTGTTGGGAATCAAATCTGCAATACGACGCGCAGCAGCCGATCACCTAACCACTGCGCCAGTGCAGTCTTGCACTTACAGAAATAAAATTATACAGGATGGCCTGTTCAATAATGGATAATTATGCACATCTACCTGACGCTGTCCTAAAATTAGCAATACGATAGTCATTTACGAATTTACGATAGGTACTGCTGACCCCAGATTGCAGAATAATTAGAACTGTAATAAATTGAATAATTCTGCAGAAAATAGTTAAGTATATGTTGATTTAGAATTTTAAATTAAATTTAAATTCAACTTTTAAAAAATTAAAAAAAATAATGAATTTTCTAAATTATAGGAACAATGTCGCGTAACGGTTTCCGTTTTATATAAAAGTCAAAACTACGAGGGTTACTTATTATGCGGCAATAGAAATGTTGGTGCGGTCCGTTCCCTCCAAGCCGCCGCGCATTCATGGCATTTCATTGTACGCGGCAGTCGCGGCCTCGCCACCGCGGGGGGATCGCGTGCCTGCGTTGCCATGCCGTGCCGAACGCACACTGCTCTATTTACTATACCGTTCATAATCGTCGTTATCGAATTGTTTCCGTGTAGTACACGCGTAGACAACAGCTGAACATGACCGTGCGCGACTTACGAACTCAACTTTCATTCATAAAAACTCTATTCTGACAAGTGACGAAAATGATATGGACACAGTGCCGTTTAAAATGATAATTAACGCGATATTCTTTTGTTTAGTGATGGGCGCGGCGCTTACGGAAGCGCCTGACGATGCAGATGTTTGTTTCCGTGTGTCCGGTGAGAATGGTTTGGTGGAGTGCAACGTACGGACACTGTCATCGGACAGGGATGTCGCCGGTTCGATGCACTCGGATGGCGCGGAGCGGCTCGCGATCCGGTGCAGCCCGCTGCTACTCGAGAGCTCACTGCGAGACCACCACTTCGGAAGAATGCAAGGTTTGGCGGAGATAACCATAGATAACTGCAAAATACTACGACTCCCGGGCAATGTGTTCGAGGGTTTACGAGGGTTGAAGACGCTGAAGATACGCTCCATGAACAACGAGTGGAGCAACAACAAGGAGTTGGAACTATCGCTGGGAGCTTTCAATGGATTGCGAGAGCTGCATACCTTAGACTTAGGTCATAACAACATTAGAAAGATACCATCGGACTTGTTCTGTGCACTGGAAAATATAATTTCACTTAATTTAACGCATAACAAAATTAAGTTCGTCGATGAATTGGGTTTCGGTCATAAATGCGGGTCCACATTACAGACTATAGATTTAAGTCATAACGACATTATGTCGCTGCCAGCTGACTCCGAAATTTTACATTTGCGCCGGTTGACACAGTTGTTTCTCCAAAATAATAAAATAAATGAGCTGCCAGGCGAAGTTTTTAGTGACTTACTGTCGTTAAAAGTTGTAAACCTTTCCGATAACGCCATTAGCTATTTACCAGATGGGTTATTTTATAACACTAGAGAAATTCGAGAGATTTATATACAAAATAATGAACTGGAAACTTTGCCTAAGAGAATATTCAATCGGTTGGAACAATTGCTCGTTTTAGATCTTTCGGCGAATAAATTGAGGAGCGACCACATAGAAGATGAAACGTTCGGTGGTCTAATAAGATTAATCGTGCTCGACCTGTCCCATAACACGGTCGCACGGATAACACGCAACATGTTCAAAGACTTGTTCTTTTTACAAATTTTGAATATGTACAACAATTCTATAGCATTTATAGAAGATAATGCATTTTCACCGCTTTTTAATCTACACACATTAAACCTAGGTCAGAATAAGTTACAGGCTATTGAGGATCATGTGT